CTGTGGCTGCTGGACTCCGAGACTTTGTTCAATCAGGTCTGCGATGCCTTGGGTCCACCATAGGGCTTTCTGTAATCGCTGGAGGGTTGCAAAATGATCAGGAAGTCTCTCGGTCGCTGGAAACGGCGCTCAGTTGGCCGTCTGGGGGTACTCATGCCAACTGGGCGAGCGCGGCAAGCGCAGTTAAAGACTTTGGTATCTACTTTTTTGGACTTATATGTCTTCTATTAGAGCATTGTGAGCTTGATGATGAGGTATTGAATGTGCTTCGTAGTTTCGACTTCAACACCCTCGCCATTCACCGTAATTATCAGTTATATTCGCCTCTGGATTACCTCGATAAATTGGTAAAATTCATTCTTCAACCGCCTTTCAGCCTGTTGCTCACATCCATATAATAGCGATTATCTTCTCTTGTTCGGACCCAGAGCGTTTCGGAATGGGACCAAATGCTCCTTTCGGAGTTAGCAAAGAAGTACTTTCGTATCAAGCCCGTCGTAAGTCAGAATTACTCGGTTTTCTCTGTAATTCATCATGGTCCGTAGGATTTTGATGACGCTCGCAGGGATGGATTCTTCTTGCTTGGAGAGGGCACTAATTCAGTTGCTGTAGTCACAGATCAACGGAGAACTACATTTCGGTTTATATCCCTGAAAACGCCGTCTCAGGTATGGGCCGTTCTACAGCACACTTCCCTCTCGTGGGATGACTTGAGGCAGCAACGCCTATGACAACTCAGTTGGCTATCGGGTCCAATAGAGAATTTTGTAGTATGAAATAACACTATATTCAGCTTTCATTGGAAATGCACGGCTCGTGCTCGATAGTGGTAGGTAAACGAGTGCGCGAGACTAGATGCGTCTGATGTGATGACTGAAGAAACCCGGCCAGGTAGCGCGGTGTCTTGGGCAAGGTCTGGTGCTAAATGTTGCATATTTGAAGGCCTTCCGATGGAAGCCAGCGCCCGGAGTCACTTGCGCCTCCGTTTTTCGTCAGGCCAGTTAATATCCGACCGCTCACCTCCTTCCGCTCTGTCCATCCTGGGCAACCGTCCTCGAATCCAGCTACCTGTTCACACACTCTCCTAACGAAGATTTCGACATGGAATAAGCTGAATCGATGATTATGGCTAAGAACGCGTTACTGCCGATTGCAATAATCGTAAATAGCACGTTTCTGGCTTTGTGGGGAGGGTCGTGATTGTGTATATAATTGTATACGGGTTCTTTACCCGAGGGCCGGTGCATCCTGTGTAATTTAGTATTAAATGTATCATAATCGGGATGGTGCCAACGACCACTGCCCTTTGCGACCATGGACGGAAGTGATAGGTTTGATATAAATAGCCAAGCGCCAGATTTCACAGCAAGGCAAGGCTGTTGCCCTGAGTCACTTGTTCATCTCCCACCCATTTAATCCAATTCCATCGCCTCTCCGTCGTACCAACATCACCATGCCGCTTCTCCCAGAGATATCACTGAACTACGCCCATTCCCCGCCCCCGGAACCGGGTATGCTGGCTACTACATCTGATCAAGCATCAATTCCGTCATTTGCTAACAACTTGAACCCTGCTGCTGCTCAAGTCGATGGAACAGGTCCTCAAGTAGGGCGATCCTACTATACAGGTCTCAAACGGGCTTTTAACAACGCACTTACCAAGACTCTGGAATACTGCTTTAGGAGGTCAGGGGATACAAGATTTACTGGTTCAAGGCCGGTGGCTTATTCGAGGGGAAGGGCTGACTGGGTAAATGGGCGTAGCCACGCGCCTCCTGGGGATAGGCACCTCGCGAATGTGAATCAGGTACCAGGGACATCACAGGCTGTGTATATAGGGCCGGGCACTGGGACTAGCTTCTTCTCCAATGCTAACAACGTCGTTGTCAACCAACCCATCATGATAGATCGGTCTCACATTGTCAACAATCTGACTCAAGGAAAGACAAGTACGTGGGTTATATCCTTGTATTAGGGTAGTACCTCACTATTGTTCTAGCTCTCGAAATTCTTTACCAACGAATGACCAAAGGCGCTGACATTGATTCATCCGTTCGATGGCCCCCACCTAAATGTTACCCTGGCACTCGTGTCAGGCTCACGACAGAAATACAAGATTGGTTTCTTCGCGACACTCGCAGCTGGGATTTTCTATGGCTGAGCGGGCCCGCCGGCGTTGGAAAATCTGCTGTGGCCCAAACCGTCGCTGAATTCGCCGCTGAGGAGGGGATTCTGGGAGCCATCTATTTCTTCTCGCGACCCAACAAACGATACAAATACATTGAGGTCTTCATCACCCTCGCCTACCAGCTCGCCATCCGTTTCCCAGGCTACCAGCCTCTCGTTACTGTCAAGCTCATCGCAGAGCCTGACCTACTGGAGAAAGCACCGCACATCCAGTTCAGGAAGCTGATCGTCGAGCCGCTTCTATTGCTGTCACATGAGCGGAAGCATGTCATTATTCTTGATGGCCTGGATGAGTGTGACGGTGAAGATGCTCAGCTGGAAATCATCGAACTTATCAACAACCTTCTTCGTTCGAATGTTTCCCTCCCCATTATCTGGATGATATGTAGCCGACCAGAGGCGCACCTCAAACGGACCTTCGCTCAAACTGATTACGACATCCAATGTTGGCGAGAATTTCTCCCGATTGGCTCAGAGGAATCCAGGAGGGATACAGAGACTTTCATCCGTGGACAGTTCAAAGAAATACACAAGCGATATGGAGAAGGTGTTGAAGAAGACACCAGCGGCTCCTGGCCACCGGAAGCCGCTATCGAGCAGATCGTTGAGAAGACGTCGGGGTTGTTTGTGCTAGTTGACACGCTCCTCAAGCACATTGAGGATCCCGAAACTCATGACCCAGATCAACGCCTCAATGAGGTTCTCACATTTCTCAAGAATTCTCACCTCACTGGTTCGCGAAACCCCGTGCATGATCTTGATTTGTTCTACACACGTATCCTCTCTGACATTCCCAACAACCATTGGCCTATTACTCGCCTAATCCTCGTAGCCTCAACTTTTCGCAGTATATGGGTCGGCCAGTTGGCAGTGCAACCAATGTGCAACTTGTTGGGCATCACTCGCGCTAAATTTTACGCCGCCATGCGCCAGCTTCATTCCGTCATCCGTATCCCAGACCCGTCTGATGCTGCCGAGACACCCCTGCATTTCTTCCATACAACCTTCCTTGATTACTTGACTGATCCAAATCGTGCAGGGCGATTCTTCATCGGAAGACTTGTATCTTATCATGACTTTACCGTGGCTGCTGGGCTTCGAGAGTTTGCGTTATTGGCGCTGCGATGCCTTGGGTCCACCATCGGGCTTTCCCAGGTCAATGAGCATAATGAGGAGGTGCGGGGTGACCAGAAAATCTGCCGATTGTTGGAGGCGGCACTCAGCTGGCCGTCAGGGGATGTTGACGCCAACTGGGCAAGTGCGCACGCAGTAGCAGACTTCTGCATTCATATCTTTGGATTTGTGTGTCTTCTATCGGAGCATTCTGAGCTTGACGATGAGGTATTGGGTACGCTTCGTAGCTTTGACTTCAACATCCCCGCCTTCCTCCGTAAATTTGTCTATTATTCATCTCTGGTACATTTTGATAAATTGGCAAGTGACAACGTTCATCAAGCATACGTTTCGATCCATTTCTCATGCGCGTGTAATAGCGACCGTCCTCTCTGGTTCGCACCCAGAGTGTTTCAGATTGGGACCAGGCGCTTCTGTCGAAGGTAGCGAAAACGTATCCTCATATCAAGCCCTTCGTGAGTCGAGACTATTTAGTTGCCTGAGTGATTCATCTGACGATGCTGTGCTCTGTAGGATTTCCATGATACTCCACAGGAAGGCTTCATCTTGCTTGGAGAAGGCACCAATTCAATCGCTATAGTTGCGGGTAAACAGTACATTGCATTCCAGTATGTTTCCCTAAAAACGCTGCCCCAAGTGTGGCCCGTTCTACAGCACACTTCTATTCCATGGGATGGCTTAGTTACGGACTCAGATGGTGGTGGGGGCGGAGATTTGGGACGGCGTTGATGGCGACTTGGGTGTGGTAGTGCTGATGGTGGCCTGGACGTTGATGTTGACGACAACTCAGATAACTACTCGCACTAGTGCATGATCTCGAACTTTAGTATCAGCATGATTATCAATGGATACAAACCCCTCATTGTCATCGCATCACACGCTCTTCATCAGTGGTACACCTGGTGAATGAGGCGAGCGAGGCGTGCTTTCTCGTCCGCGGGCCATATGGCCCACCCTCCAATAGCGTAACACAGGTAACGTACTCATTTACTCTTCCCATTCCACTTACCATCACACGTCAGACTCCTCGTCATTCCCCCTGAGACTTTCCCCTCTATCTCGACGCACCTTTGAGCCCGCCCTCTCTATTCCCTCAGGACTCTGGCAGAGGTGATTGAGGGACACGTTACGGGGCGACCCGACCGTACTCCTCCTCGACCTTACCGCCGGGGCCCTGGCCATTCACAGCCCAGTCCCCTTCCTCCCAAGCGTCACTACCGGCGTTCTTATATTGACCATGAGAACCGGCCTCCCGGACGAGATGCGATTTCGGGGTCTCTTGGAAAGGCACGAATGTTTTTGGTCTGGCATTTGTGCATAGGTCAGGGGGTGGGCTCGACGGTGGCCGAGTATCTTGCCACAGCCGTCGTGTGGTCCTGAGGATAGATTGCTGAGTGCGACCTCACATTGATGGCGAGTCGATAGCACAGAGGTTCGAATTTCGGACCCGCCGAGCCCGCATCACGTCTTCATACGCGTACTTCTTCAACGGTAATCGTATACCAGTGCATTTCCTGTTCCTATTTCTACAACAATCGAGTACAAAATCATACAAACGACGCAATTTTGATCCAACTATCCACCAGACCACCCGTGCTACTCTTGACGTGAAATACAGTTGGTCGGAAGAACAGAGCGAGAGGTGCGCATCTGATAGTCGAGGGTTAGCGAGTTTCATGTAGAAATGATTGTGATGCACCTCTTACCCTTCATTTAAGAGACGGTGATGGTGGCGGTTCCGCTGCTCTGGTAGCCTTCGGTAGCAACGATCTGGTAGTTTTGCTCGGAGCCCAAGTTCATCCCCAAGTTCGCCCATGCGGTGAAGTGGCATCCCGTGTTGACACTGCCGCTGATTGATCCTCCGGGGCTCTTCTTCGGGTTACGGACAGACCAGTACTGCTGGAATGTTTGCGTGCCGTCAATCGACGGTTGGTTGGTGCGAGTAGTAGTAAGGATGTCGTAGGTGGCGCCGTCGCAGGTCACCGATCCCTTGGCTGAGGCCGCAGACGAAGGGTTGTACGATCCGTACGACTCGACGATGTAGTACTCGATGAGAGGGTTGCGGGTCCAGCCGTAAA